AAAAAAAAAAAAAAAAAAAAAAAAAAAAAAAAAAAAAAAAGGGGGGGGGGGGGGGGAATTCCGCCCCCAAGAATTTTGTAGCTACCAAGGTGTGCAAGACAGGTCAATGAGAAGAAATTATAAAAAAGCACGTCTGCATTTATTTCTTAGAACATGTTTGAATGGAGAAGACAAAGTCCACTTGACACATCTGATCTGAATGCTGATACTTTACTCATCCATCTTGCAACTCCTGGGTGTGCAGAGTCTCTCTGAGGTTTTCTTAGTCGAAATTCTTGATTCATTATATGAGTAATGGTTATTCGAAGCATCATTCTCATATAAATGCAATGCTGCCTGTAATTTTATTCTATTAAAGCGATCAGAACAAGTGTTGAGCTTCATCATTCTTACAGACTGAGCTGGAAAATTCCAGTCGAATGTTCTCCACTTTGCTTCCATTGCCTGCAGTATCCGCGCAAGATAATCTACTCATTAGCTTAATTAATTTGACTAGCTAAAAAATTTTATGTTCTCAACCACAACTTTGCTCAAGAAAGATGCAAACTTCGCCCACTTTTTCCAAAGTGCATTGGACAGGACTATTAACAAAATTTTAATCTTTTATTCTTTAGTACTATTCAGTTCTGACTAATCTGCCTAATAAAACTTGCAACCATAAGTGTATCCTTTTAGAAGAAAAAAAAAAAAATAATAATAATAATAATTCATTAGAAGGAGGGACAATTAAATAGGAACCTGCTTTTCCCAATTTGTGAGACATGTTATAAGGGCAAGCAAGAAAGCTTGGACTGTTGCTCCAGCCACCAATCCACTCCAAAGGCCTTCTACTTTTAAGTGCATAACCAATTCTAGGAGTAACGCCATTTGAAATTCCAACAATGTAATATGCTCCAAGATTGACATAGGCCCCAACATGCTGCCTGCCACCTGCAACCTCTAGCTACTCCTGCACCAAACAAGAAATGACCTACCCGATGAGAAGTCTAAGGGAAAATTGTCTAATTCCGTAACACTGCAAACTTTTGAATTAATTAAAGAGACGTGGGAAGATTACCAGAAAGAACTACTTGTGAGCTGTCCGTGATTATGGTGACACAAAGAAAAGGAGTCATGTCTTTGACATAATAATTCGCGACATCCATTTCATTGCTAAATGCATATCCTAATATATAACGGCAAAAGAATAAAATAGTGCTGGCTGTAATGAACTCAAACAACTGAACAAGAATGGCAAAGAGAGCAACTCTAGCTGCTCGTGGTTACCCAGCTCCGAGTTCATTCGATACATGAGTGCTACAAGAAAATATTAAGATTCTAGTTTTGTTCTAGATACAAATCATATAGCAATTATGTCAGAGTAGAGAGATTAAAATCAAACCTTGCAGCAGATAGTGCGAAGAAGTAATAATCAAGCTGCTCATAGAGAAAAGTAAACTCCAAATTAAACATACAATTGAAATCCGTGAGCATCGAGAATATGTTTGGTACTGGACAATATAATTGACAACATATAGCTTCACTTTTTCTTTAATAATGTTCAGTACCGTGCATTCTACCTTAACAAACGTGCCTAAAATGTATAGGAAATAGGCATACCATACGGTAGCACGGACATCTCCAGCTCTGGATTTGGCAACAGTCCACTAAGCAGTATCACTACCTCAAACGATCACCGCTCTAAACTACACACTGGAATTGGGAAATAACGGAAACATAGAAGCAAGATTACATTCACCATATACGATAAACAAATAGCAAGTGATTCTTCAGCATTTCCTGGCTTTAACTTGAATATTAGAGCCCAGCAAATAGGCAAATGGAAGCATAGAGATGCAAGCGAACTCAATTAACATTGGAAGAATCAAATTCTGAATCTGCAAGTAGCGAACCAGAGACTGAAGAATAGCATAAGGGAACGGTGAAGGGATGAGCCACATTGAGAATCTGCCAGCTTCGACTGAGATTAAAGGGTCTTGGCCTATCAATATCAATATCTTGTCCGTATATATCCATCTTAAAGATATTGGTAAACACGCCAGTAAGAGACATATTATAGAACCATAAGTAAAAGTTCCAACCCTTTGATATTGCTCTGCTCCATGTACCTGTCCACGCAGAGTTTCCAAAGCACCAAATATACCGAACTGTAGGGGTGTATCCAGACATTTCGAACTGTGGGGTCCAAAATGAAAATTTTCATCTTAGTCCATAGTCAAGTAGCAGCAGGGGTGGACCTATATAGCAGGGGTTGAGCAGCTGAGGGACGGCC